GCGCTTCTCAGCCTTCACCAGCAGACTCTTGGCAGTAGACTTCTCGTCATCAGTGCTGTTCGTCTCCATCATATCCCCTTCTTCTGTTGAGATCACGTGCTGCTGTTTCCGAGGCTTTTTCCTTGGGGAGGCACCAGGTGGTAGGCCACTTGTAGGCATGGACAGGTTATTCGCCAGCAATGTGAGAGATGGAGACACAGTGTTGGTGGCCAGTGGAGGAACTGCTGTCAGAGGAAATGGAGCACAGACAGCTCTGAGAAGCCAGACATAATGGAAAGCTTCACTTGATTCCCAGCAACAACAAATAAGAGAACAGTAGAAAGCCAGCACTCTAGCTGTGGTGGAGACTGCTGAATGCTTTTTAATGTTCCACAGCTTCACCGTACTTGGTTCCAGGAACCTCACTTTGACATGGTATCATGTCATTTAGCTAAAACAATGTATTACTTAGCCTTTGTTATAAGTGTGATCAGATAAAATGGAAGGAGTGTTCTGCAGCACTTTCAGGGAGTTTCCTTACATGTTAGCCAGATGAGGTGGTGCACACCTGTAATCCCAGCACTAAGGGAGGCTGAGTCAGGAGGACTGCAAGTTCATGAGACTCTGTCTCAAAAGATAAAAAGACCGGGAGATACAGCTCAGTGGCAGAGTTTTCCTGGGTTTGATCCTCAGTATCCCACTCCCCCATCCAAAAAAGGGAAAAGAAAACAAAGATGTCATCTTCTATTCCTTGACTTCTTTCTGTGCCCTAGGTTTTAGCTATGATAGCCAGAGCTACAGCAGCTGCTATGAATCAAGAGCACGAAGATCAAATCTTACAGGTTCATGCAGGGAAAAATGGGAAGGAGCTGGATCCCTAAGGATCTGATAGAATCCACATACTATTCTTGAACATACAGCTTGCTTCAAGGGAGATAAAAATCTTACACGTGTAAGTCACTATTCTTGTGGACTTTAAACAAATACCTAGCAGGTAACCAATTAACCGATAATCTTAAAAAGGCAATCAGGGCCCGGGGATTTTAGCTCAGTGGCACCGCACCTGCCTTGCAAGCACAAGATTCAATCCCTGGTACCAACCAACCCCTCCAAAGCAATCAGAATAAGCAAACATTACTATTATCCCCTGTTGACAGTTAAGCTGGACTGTCAACTTTATTAGCTTGGGAACAACTTAGGGCAGGGATGAGCCACAGCAAGCCACGTTACCATGTTGGTTTTTGTCTAAATTAAAACCACAGTACTCAGGCTTAATTGCAGTCTTGGCACTTTGTGACAAATAAGTGAGTTTTGGGTTGCAGTTTGGGCCCTCGGTCTCTAAAAGGTGGCTTGTATTAGTAAAGCACATTTCTAGGTGTGTTTGGGGGCTCATGGAAGTGCAACTTTGGGTATGGTATCTGGTCCCTAGCCACATCGTCTCTGGCACTATTCCCCTGCTCTGCTTAACAAAGCAGCTTTGTTCTGCCACCCCATTCCACCACGATGTTCCTGCCTTGGAGGCATGGTCAGATGGACTGAATCCTTTTGAAATCATGAACCAAATTAAACCTCTCCTTTTAAACTGTGGGAGTTATGTATTGTATCCCAGTAACAGGAAGACAGACCAATACATCCCTCAATTTACAGATAAGAGTATGTGGCATAAGCCACACACATGTGAAGTGGCAGAGGCAGCCTCACTTCTGACTCTGCACTGTTAACTACCACAGTATACTGTGTTCAGACAAAAAGCCTCCAGAGTGAGGAAGCAAATCCTAGTTTGCTAGGACCACACGTCTAGGAACTTAAAAATTATGCTAATGGTTCACCTCAACTCTTATTTCATTCTGCCACATTATTTGCCCCATCCTTTTCCTCCACTCACGCTCAGCTACCCACTCCCTACACCAGCAACAGCGAACCTTTTAGAAATTGAGTGGCAAGGGCCGGGGATTTAGCTCAGTGGTTCTGCTACCTGCCCTGAAAGTGCAAGGTCCTGAGTTTGATCCCTAGTAAAAAAAAAAAAAAAAAATCAAGTGCCAAACTGCAACCCAGAACCCACTTATTTGTCACAAAGTGCTAACGCTGCAATTAAACCTGAATACTGAGGCTTTAGTTTAGAAAAAATAATCTCATACATTAAAAAGAAAAACATAATAACACATGTGCCATAGGTTCGCCACCACTGCCCTACGCTGTTATCAACAATAACTACAACTGGCTTCACACCCATCTCAATTTCTAGTACTCAAATCTTTAGCCAAAACCAACTGCCTAGGTCACTCTTATTAGTAACCAATTTCCAACAATCCTTTGACTGCACTAGTAGCTCCTGCCCATCCACCTTCCCATGCTTCTTTCTGTCACGTCTCTTTTCATGTCCATTTTTTCCCATTGGTAGATTCAAATTCCACATTTTACTCATTTTATTCCATCTTTTTCCCTGTTCTGGCTTTGTCAAACTCAGCAAAAGCAGAAGAGGTTTAAATACAACTCTCCAGGGCCAGGGATTTAGCTCAGTGGTTCTGTAGCCTGACTCGCAAGAGCAAGGTCCAGAGTTCAATCCCCGGTACCAAAAAAAAAAAAAACAACTCTCCAACCAGCCTGCACCCATGTGCTAAAATAGCTGGAATGACCACACAGCAAGCTGGTTGTTCTCACTTGGTAAACATCCTATTTGCCCCTAGATGAGTATTTTACACTTTCTCAACTCCTCTTCCCTACCTGTACTCTTAGTGATCCTGCTTCTATTTTACTGAAAAAGAAACAATCAGAAAGCTATGTCCATGAGGTACCCCCTACACCGCCCCATCGCACAGTGACTGTATATTCTCCCCTCTCAGTTCTTCAGCAAAGGCCAAACCTTTCAGAAAACACTGATCCTGCCGCCACTCCCTCCTCTTCAGACACTGCCCCAGGAATCTGCACTGCTTTCTCTTACATTATCAGTTCTTCCCTTTCTAATTAATCACTCCCACTAACATATAAAACTCTTATCTCAAACAAAAACAAAACAAAGCAAAACAAAACAACTAAAGGCCAGGGATGTAGGTGTAGTGGAAAGCCCAAGAGACTCAGACCTGCAAAAAAACAAAAACAAACAAAAAAACAAACTTCTTGACATCATTTCCCTTCTGTTATTACCCTCTTTTTCTATCCCTTTACAGCAAACTTCTCTATAATGTTTTTGTACACCATGTTTCTATTTCTCTCCCAGTTCTCTCCCTTCCCCCCTCCCGCCTCTCGATTACATTTTAAACACTTTGTGTTAGCTTTCTGGTTAGCTGAATACCCAACACCCACAATTTAAAGGAGGAGAGGTTTAGTTTGTTTGGCTGTAAGGGAGCCAGTACATCCTCCCTGTGTCCAAGGCTAGAACATTATGGTAGAAGAGGGTGGTCAGGCAGCTGAGGGGGAAACAGTGCCAGAGGTTGAAAGGCAGGAATCACAAAAGACCTCAAATCCACATCTCCAAAACCTACCCAGAGTTATCTGCCAACAGTCCCCTAGGCCAATCTCAGAGCGCCCAGTTTTTTCTTGAACTTACTTCCAATCATGTTTTTACTATTATCATTACACAGAAACTGTTCTCCAGATCTCCATGACCTCTGTGTGGCTAAATCTAAGGGTCACCTGCTCAGTCCTCAGCTCCCTTGATCTCTCAACAGCATGTGATCCAGCTAAACATTCCTTCCTCCCACAATTTTCTGCCCTTGCCTTATATACCACTTCATACTCCAATTTGTATCCTACCACTCTGGCCCCTCTATTCAGTCTCCTCTGCTGAATTTTGCCTCTTTTTCCACCTCACAAAGGTGCAGTGTTCTAGAGCTGTCTATGAACTGCTTCAGCTTTTATGGGCATTCATTTCCTAGGTGACTGTATCCACTTATCCAGGCTTCTGGCTTGGAACACAATTTTTATATATATACTTATATCTCCTAAATTTTTATCTGCAACTTCATTTTCCATGCCAAAATCCAGGCTTGTTGATTGAACCTTTTACTTGATGCCTACATTTGGATGTCTAACAGACACTTCAAACGTGGACCAAAAACAACCCCTAATCTCTCCCAACAAAATATGGTCCTTCTGCAACCCTTTGTATCTCAGCTGATATCAACTCCATGGCCTCCTGCTGCTAAGGCCAAACACCTCATCTTCACCATCTGATCTTTAATTGTCACGGTAGTGACCCCACACCTATGACCCCAGGACTCTGGGAGGCTATGGGAAGAGGATTGCAAGTTTGAGCCTAGTCTAGGCAATTTAGTTAGATCCACTCTGAAACAAAGAGCTAGGGATATCGCTCACCCTCAGTTCAATCTCCAGCAGGGCCAAAACAAAACAGCCCCCACAAACTCTCGGCTGCAACTTAAAAACATATGAAGGGGCTGGGGTGTAGCTCAGTGGTGGGATGCTGCCTAGCACACAGAAGGCCTTGGGTTTGAAGAACAGCACTGGGAGAAAAAAATCCAGAATCCACCTACCTCCTAGCATGTCTGCGGCTACCACCCTAGCCAGGCCTGTTCCTACAGGTAGTGCAACAGGCTCAAGACAAGCCTCCCAGCTTCCATCTTTGCTCTCACAGCAGCCAGAGTGCTGTGGTTATAGCCTAACCAAGCTCCTGGCATTCCTCTGCTCAAGAGGAGTAGCTTCCCACTGCCCCAGTGCAGCCTGAGTCCTACACAGTGAGGCCTGTGAGTACTGACCTCAGCTCTGACCATGTCCTCTGCTAACTCCGAGCATACCAGGCACACTCTAATCACAAGGCATTTGCACTTGCTGCTCTCTAGGCCTGGAATGCTCCTTTCCCAGACAGCCTCAGGGCCAGCGCTTCATCCTTCCTGACTCTACTCCAATGTCATTTCCTCCATGAGACCCTTAGTACCCTTTTTTGATAGTTTCAGCCTCAAACCTAACTTTTCCTATACAATATTTTTTTTTGAGAATTTAACACCTAAATAAGTAAACCTACATGCATGCATGTGCATGTGAGTGTGCACACACCTAATAACTGTTTTATTATTTTACTATTTGTCTCCCTTGCTAGAAAGTAATCTCTGAGGGTGGGGAGATGCACTTATTTACACAAGGCTGTACCATCAGTGTGAGAACAATTTCTGGGGTAGAGGTAAGATTACTGTCAGCTTCCTGGCACATACAGGTAAGGGGGACTTTAATCCAAAATTAATTTACAAAACAACAAAATAAAATCTCTGAAGTTACTTGATTTTCACAAACTGGAAGTTTATAGTTGAAGGGAAAGAGAAAAGAGGTAATGACTAGTTTTAGGATTTGACTAGTCAGATAAAAGTTTATCAAGAGAATTTTTTTTTTTGGTACCAGGGATCAAACTCAGGACCTTGTGCTCTCGAGGCAGGCTCGGGTACCACTGAGCCAAATTCCCAGTCCCAAAAGAGTATTTTAAAACCAGGAATCTTACTTTGCCATACAAGAAAACATACAGAAATTGTACAAAAATTTGAAAAGGAACAAAATGCAAATCTTATCTTTATAACCCCCCCCCAATTTTAGTATGTTACAAAAATCTAAATTTAGCATTATGGTGCAAGCCTGTAATCCCAGCACTCAGTAGGCTGAGGCAGGAGGATCACTGTGAGTTTACGGCCAGCCTGAACTGTATAGCTAGACCTTGTCTCAAAAAACCAAAACCAAAACCAAAACTGCATGTCACTTGTTTTGCCAATACTGGGGATTTTTGGTTTTCGGTTTTTTTCGGCACCAGGGATTGAACTCAGGTCCTTGCATTTGCATAGCAGGAGCCCAAACCACTGAGCTAAATCCCTGGCCCCCAATACTGGGTTTTGCAGTGGCATTTTCATACATGCATGTAACATACTTCTCTTTTTTTTTTTTTTTTTTTTTTGGTACTGGGAATTGAACTTGGGACCTTGCACTTGCGAGGCAGGTGGCAGAACCACTGAGCTAAGTCCCCGGCCCTGCATGGTTGGATCACAGCACCCTCAACAGTTCCTAACCCTCCTGGCCCTCTCACCCTCTCTCTCTCTAATAATCTCCCTTGTAGCTTCAAGTCTTATTTTTTTTTGTAGATCTCCACAGTGTAAATAAACAGAACTTAGCTATGATCATATCTTGACTCCTTGTCAAGGCAATATTCTTCCTCCCCTTTTTCCCTCCTTCCCTCTCTTATTTGGGTGCTAGTAGGGACTGAACCCAGGGCCTTCACACTGAACTACATTCCTGGCCCTTTTTATTAGCTTTTAAATTTTGAGAAAGGGTCTTGCTAAGTCACTACACCGTCCAGGGTGGGCGTAAACTTGTGATCTTCCTGCCTCAGCCTCTCACATGCAGGGTTACAGGTGTGTGTCACCAGGCCTGGCTGTAATATTTTCTTAATGAATACAAGGAATCTATATTAAAAGATACACACGGGGAACTATTACTCTCATGACTTTAGTTAGACATTAAAATTAATGACAAAAAGGCAACCAAAATGGTCTTTGTGTTTAAAAGGAGTGCCTTCCATTTACTAAAAACAAATGAAATGCAACATTTAAAGCCGGGCACCACAGAGTCATATGTCCTGGTTTGTGGTCACATTAAAAAAGAGGTAAACTCTAGAGTGCAGTGTTAGGAAGCAGGAAAGAAGTAACTGTCAAGGGAGAGTATTCTGTGAATGAACTTACCGGAAACTGGCCTCATGATGTCCATTGGCTCTACTTCCTCTTTCACTTTGATCTCAGGTATAGGGGGGCCTACGACAGAGGAGAGGCTGCCACTCACAGTGGCTGTTGGTAGTGGTGCAGCTGCAATAGTTGTGATGGGTGGAGTGATGGGGACAGCTCCAGGAATGGTTGAGAGAGCAACGGCTGGCTGGGATGGGGGACTAGCTGCGGCAATCATGGTTGGAAGGGTTGGAGGTGGCTGCTGGGCAGTGGGAGGGACAGCAATGGTAGGCTGATCATTATTTTGATTGGATACGGTCTCCATGGACACAGTGACCGGAGAGGCCATAGACACGTGGATTTCAGATTTAGGTTTGGCACTGAAACATAAAAGCAAAGGACATAAATCACCTTAGCCTGTAACATCTTGGAGGATGGGTATTTGCCTCATTCTTTTTGTACAGCATACATACAGCATAACTGACACTATTCTTTGATTCTAAACTTGGTGGTAACTTTTAAAGGTAAGTAAGGTATTTATTCATTTATGGTGCTGGGTGCTAAACCCAGGGCCTTGTGCATCCTAAGGACTGCTCTATCTCTGAGCTAAACATCTAGTCTGGAATTCATGTTTTTAAAACATCCTATGTAATCCCATCCTGTCATGTTTTTATAAGCAGTAATTCAATTAATTTAGAAAACAACATTTTAAAAAAATCATTCGAAGTCACATCATTGTACATGAACTACCAATTTTCATGAATGCATTATTTCCTCCAGATTTTACTATTTATGTTGTCTTTGTAGTTTTTTCCTTTTAAGCTACAGTTGTATTCATATATAGTTTCTTATGAATCTATTTCTTATAGATGAGAAAATACATACAAGTGGCAAAGTTTTAAAGGGTACAAAGAAATACAAATTGAAAATTAAATTTTCTTTCTACACCCAGCTGTCTACCAAGGGACCACTCTTACAACTTTCTAGAGATACTAGGCAGGTTAAATAGCTACAGATACATTATCAAAAATGTGTGCCCTAGGTTTTTTTTTGGTACCAGGGATCGAACTCAGGACTTTGTGCTTAGGAGTCAGGCGCGGTGCCACCAAGCTAAATCCCCAGCCTTGTATGCCCTAGTTTTTCAATTTTATAAGAATTTATTAAGTTCTCTTAAGTCAAAGTATTTATAAAAATTACTTTAAGTGGTAAAACACTTCACTAAATAGACATAATACTTCACCTTTATTACTATTGCCAAAAACTGAGGTATTCAAAACCAACACAACATTCCTCAAATTGAAGGCTAAAATTGGATATCCATAAGCAAAGAAATGATCATCAACCTAAACTTCATGTTGAACGTGAAAATCTACTCAAAGTGGATCACAGATCTAAATATAAAAATAATTATAGCTGGGTGTGGTGGCACACGCCTGTAATCCCAGCACTCAGGAGGCTGAGGCAGGAGGAGTGCCATGAAGTCAAGGCCAACTTGGGCTACATAGTGAGTTCAAGGCCAGCCTGAGCTACACAGCCAGACCTTGTCTCAAAAACCATTAAAAAAAAAGACATTTAGAAAAAAATACAAAAGAAAATTAGGATTAGGTGAAGAGTTCTTAGAATAATTAAAAAATATAATTGATAAAAAAAATGATGTTTGCTGGGCGTGGTGGTGTATGCCTGTAGTCCCAGCACCTGGGATGCTGAGGCAGGATTGCTGTGAGCTCAAGGCCAGCCTAGTTGAACTAATAGCAAGACCCTCTTTCAAAAACCAAAACCAAAACAAAACAAAAAAGATAAATTTGGCTTTATAAAAATTTTAAAAATTTTTGCTTTGTTAAAGACAATTACAAGAAATTGAAAAACAGTCACAGATGGGAAGGAAATATTTACAATGTATATAAGATGTCACGTGTAAATAAAATGAGCTAGTCACACAAGGACAGACACTGTGTACTTCCAATTCCATGACGTCCCTAGAGTGGTCACATTCGTAGAATGGAAGAGCAGAGCAGTGGTTGGCAAGGGCTAAGGACTGAGGAGGAAGGAGAGTGAGTATTGAATGGGCAGAAAGTTTCAGTTTGCAAAGATGAGAAAGATCTAGAGATCTGTTATACAGCAATATGAATATATTTAACACTGAAGTGTTCATTCAATAAAAAAGTATCAGAAATAGGAGCAAAGAAGAAACAGGACTTCTGGGGAGATGGCAGAGTGGTGAGCAGCAGAGAAAGTGCTTTTCCAAGATGTGGTGTCCTTACACTGGAATATAGCAGTGAGAGGAGGAAGAGGAGGAGGTAAGCGGGACCCCAAGACCCAGGAAGGATCTGAGGTGAGAATTGAAGTCTACAGGGAGAGTGAAGAGAGAGACTTTAATGAAGAGGAGGGAGGTACCAAGCAGCTCTCTCCAAGACCCTGGACTCTCCTCGAGGGAAGGATGGGCCAAAACCGCAGACTGCACAGTGACTACTGATGACCCCAGAGGCCTCCGTGGAGAAGGAGCAGTGGATGACCCATGTTCAGACCTCCCCCAGGAGACAGTGATTGGCTGGTAGCCATCTTGGAGAGGGGCCCACTAAGCTCGGAACTCAGAACAGCTGCAGGCAGACTCCATCTAGTGGCTTCCAGTGTCTTGGTACGGGTACTGAGTTCAAGTCAACAGGAGGTTAGGGACCAGAGTTCAAGCCAGTAGGAGACACAGACTGTTGTAGGCTCAAAGAATCCAGTTCCATCCTCATAGCCCGAAACCAGCCTGAACTTCAGAGGAACTAAAGGGGCAGGCTGGCTGGGATTATCCAATTTGTCTCTGGACTCTGTTTGCCCACATTGCCTAACAGTGACAGCAGAGACACACCTTGAATTGGACATTTTTGGATTTTTAAAAATCTTTTTATTTGTTTTTCCTCCTTTCTAGTTCTTGTTTTGTTTAGTTTTTTTCTTGATTATTTGAACACAGTTTGTTTCTTGTTGTTGTTCTGTTCTTTTTATTTTTTCCTTTTCTCTTTCCCACCTGTCTTCTTCACCAGTTTCCTAAAGTTTATCCTCCAGCCTTGCATCTGACCTCTTTCTCTTCCTTTATTTCTGTCTTTTACTCCCTTACCCACCTTTTTTGGGGGGTACCAGGGATTGAACTCGAGTCCTTGCGCAGCAGGCAGCGAATTCCTTACCCCTTTTAAATAATCTCTCCGAAGGGTAAAAAAGCCATATTAAGGGCTACAATTTGTTATTTCCTAGCCTGTATTTGATGCTATTGTTCTTGCTGATTGTACTACTTTAGCTAAGGTTACAAAATTGTGCTAATCAGTTGTTCCTCCTGGTATACCAAGACTGAGATTGTCCAAGGGTCTTTAAAAAAAAACAAAAAACAGGGCCAGGGATTTAGCTCAGCAGTACCAGTGCCTGCCTCCAGTTTCTTTCCCCTGCAAGATCCCGAGTTCGATCCCTGGTACCAAACCAAACCAAACCAAACCAAACTAAACCAAAAATCCTACAGGCCAGTGCCAAAGTACTGGCAGCTGAGCCACGTACGCAAAAACTTCTCAACCACAGTAAACTGAAGAGGTAGGATGCTGCAACATACTCAAAACCCAAAAGCTAGCTACACCTGGAAGACACTTCTGAGAAGTTAAGTAATTTCCTAAGGATTCTGAATACTGGCAATAAAGCTACTCGCCATAAGCAATTTACAAGCATCAACTCAGGAATCAAACTTTAAAAAAATAGAAAATGAGAAGACATTTAAACAAGATGCAACCCCCACAGACTTTCAGCCCACCAAAGGCAAACCCTGGGGGAGAAATAAAATGGAACAAACCAAAAGCCACCCATCTGGACTCTCTGAAGTGGTAACAGCAGAAGTAACAAAGCAGATGAGCGAGGCTCTAGAAAAAAATCAACACAGAAATAATTTCCCAGATTAACTACAGAGATAGTGATCAGAATGAAATATACAGATAAGAAAATAATAGAGTTCAGGAATGTGATGGAAGCGAATGTCTAGCATAAGAAAGAAATGGAATCCATGAAACAGATTCAAACAGATATCCAGGAGATTAAAAATTCCCCTGAAAGTATATGTAGCAGAGATGAGCCAGTATGAGGACAGAATATCAGGTATAGAAGACAGGATGCAGTTAGTGATCAGGAAAAGAAACATTTCTTAAAAATAGCAAGGGACCATGAGAAATCAATCCAGCAGCTGCTAGATGATGCAAAGAAGAAGTACATAAGACTGAAGTCAATGAAAAAGCAGGAGATAGTGCAAATGACATAAAAAAACTGTTCTCAGAAGTAATAGCAGAAAATTTCCCAAACAGGGAAAAATAATTTGACATACAGATAAGTGAGGCATATAGGACTCCAATTAGCCATGATCAAAAAAATCTTCCCCAAGGCATATAATAGTCAAGATTCCAGAAATTAACACAAGGTCAGAATATTAAAAGCTGTAAGAGAAAAGAAACAAATCACCTATAAAGGAAAGCCCATCAGAATCACAGTAGACTTCTCAACACAAACTCTCAAGTCAAGGAGAATTTGAAGTATTTCAAGCCCTAAAGGAAAACAACCTCTAACTCAGATTGATGTACCCTGCAAAACTATCCTTCAAAATTGATGGAGAAATAAGATATTTCCATGACAAAGAACACTTGAAGAAATTCATGACCACCAACCCAATACTCCAAAGTGTTCTGAAGGATATTCTAAAAAGAAACAATAAGGATTACAACTCCATGAACCCCAACAGAAGGAATCCATTAGGTAAGGCAAGAAATTAAACAGAAAAGGAAAGTAGGAAGCCAAAAGCAGGAAAATAACATGACAGAGATAATAGATATCAGTTATAATCATCAACATTAATGGTCTCAATTCACCAATCAAAAGAAACTGACTGGCAGAATGCATAAAGAAGCAAGATCCAAAATATACTGCATATAAGAAACACTTTTAATTGAAAACAAATTCAGACGGGGTGATGGGAGGGGGGAAGGGGAAAGGAAAGAAGGGAAAGGAAAAATTATGAGAAAAGAAAAAATGGAAATGAAGTCTTTGTAAATAGGGAAGCGTGGAGGGGGTGGAGGGTGCACAGGCAATGGGGAAAAAATAAGAACCAAGATACATCATGTACAGGTACAAGCACCCAATAACAAATGTAAATGTATTGTATACCTAAAATGTACCAATAAAAGAACTTAAGAATTTAAAAAAACCAAAAAAACAAACAAAAAAACAAATTCAGACTGAAAGTTAAGGGATGGAAAACTATTCCACGTGAAAGGAAAATGGAAAAAAGCAGGGATAGTAGCTATTTTACTTGCAGACAAAGTGGATGTCAAGCCAAGAGTGATTAAGAGAGACAAAGAAAGGGCCAGGGATGTAG